TGAACTTTTCTCTCTCGCTGCAGTAAACTCAGGAAGTTCTGGGAACCCTCATTATATGACACCTGTTCTGATATATAATCCAGATGTGAACATGCCGTGCTCAAAGTCAAACACATGCTGAAGTCACTCCAACACACCGGTGCCAGCCTCCTACTCTTTGTTATCAACTGTTTGACTCAACCAAAGCTTAAAAAACGAACTGAACCGCGTTGACAGATTATGAAAGAATGATGTGACTGTGCCAAAAACACTGAACACTCCAACACAACCAGCACAGTCCGGTTACCTGTCTCTCTTTATCTCTGTGAACCTACACTGGTTGACACCGCTAGCGCTCGCTTACTGGATTAGAAAGGAACAAAAAAAACAAAATAAAAATAATCGTTAAATGTCTTCGTCAGCGTTACAACATCAAACAAAGCAGAATTTTATTTTGTCTCTGTAAATTACAGCGGAGGAACTTGACGATTATTTCCCAGACGCATTTTTGACTAACAGCTTTTCCAGCATCACGTGCTTTGCGAAAATATATAATGATGAATTATGATCCGTGCCGACTCCGGTTCATTCATCAGGAGCGTGTTTATGAGCGACGGTTGCATGCTCTGCAAATCCCGAGGCTAAAGACTCGGGCAATTATCACCTAAAACAAACAGGAATTATCCTCCTTTAAGAGACAGCGTGTTATTTCACTTCAGACGTGATTCACTGATGATACGATTAAATTATCAGCTGTCAGCAGAGAAGACAGAAGACGGGAAGCAGTTAGAAATAATGCACGTTAGAAATGTACATTCTGTGCTGCTCCTCGCCTCAGTCTGTTCATCAGCAGCTTTTAAAACTTCGAGCTGATGAATAATTACATGTGTCGACTCAATGAAAAGTCTTCTAGGTACGTTTTGTTTTCATCTGTGTTTGAATGGTTTTCCACAAAACCTGGTGGAAGGATGTCTCTAAGCCTTGTACTTGTGTCTTTGTGAGGACCATTGGACCGTGAGGACATTTTGGGAAAGTGATTTTTTTGCCGGTCCTCACTTTCTGACCCACTGTTAAACGGGCAGTTTGAGGGTTAGGACTTTGTTTTCACGTTAGGCATTTAGTTTTGATGTTAAGGGTAAGGTGCTACGGAATGCAATATGCTAATGAGTGTCCTCCCTGCGATAGATGCACAAACATGTGTGTGAGCCTGTGCGTGTGTGAGGCGTGAAGAGGCGGCTGAAAATATCCCATTATGGTTGTGAAATGTTAGGGTGAAGCTTCAGGGGCTGAGGGCTAAGGTTAAGCCTGGAATGTCTTTAATTATAGTCCGGGCGTCCTACGCTCTGAGTCGGGGAAGCGGACAGACTGGAGACATCACTGACGGTGAGACAGAGGCCTGAACCTGGGCTGGAGGCTTTGTCAAGGTTATTACAGGTCGTTAGAGGCTGGATAGCAGCGTGACATCAGCAGACAGGAGCATAGAGTAAATAGATTAAAAATAAAATACTACAAAAAACTTTGCTCCACGCCACAACTTTCTCCCGTCTTCACGTACAGGAGGACGGACGGTGCTCGACCTCGGCAGTGAAACTGAAAGATTTGGTTCAGGATGCAGTTTAACTCAGAGACGAGACCAGACACAGTCAGTTCGTCTCCAGACATCAGTCAGCAGATCCGGTGAAAGCTGCAGGTTACAGTGAAGAGCTCTGTGGATTTAAATCTTTCAAGGATAAAGTCCATGTGATCCAAGGACGACTCGGAAAATACAGCATGCATGTGCATTTTGAAAAACGTCTCGAGACGAACTGAAGACAAACGAGACAAACGTAGGATTAAGGATGTCAGTGCACTCTGAAAAACACCTGTGTTTGAAGTTATATTAAGAGTTTTAAACTCTCAGAACCTGAATGTTAATAAAATAGGGAGGACAATTATTAATTATTTTATTTTAAATGAGGTTAGTTCAATTCCATGTTGAAGAGTTTGTTTGGTTCTTATTAAATGTTTGATCACATTGTGAGCAGAGCACATAGGTCATCTTATCGTATTTTGATTTATATTCTGCAGCAGCTGAGACTAAAGCAGCCGATCACACTGATCAGAGACAGCGTGAGGACAAACTCATAAAATTGAAACTGTAAGTTAAGAACGTTTGAAACCAGTCGCTGTGACCAGTTCAAATTTCTACACGTACGCCTGCAGCTCTGCCGTGACTCTCAGCTCCCTCGTGAATAATCTTCAGATTCCTTCATATCTCTCGCTGAGCAGACAGCTGCAGCCGGAGCTGAGCGGCTGTGCAGGCAGACAGATGACCTGTGTGGGTAACCGTCCTCGGCTGGTGATTCATCTTCAGACTGGAGGGAGAGGGCGGGGCCACGCCTCAAAAGTTTTGGTTTACGTTAGGGCTCACTGGCCCAGCTGTGATTGGCTCGGTCTGGGATGATGAAGCGCTCTGTGGAGAGTTTCATCTCCGGGGAACAGACAGATGGTGGTGAATGGCTATCAGCTGCACTCGTGCCAGAGGGCGGATAACCTCAGCGATCAAAGCAGCCCGGCCCTTTAACCGAGCAGTGTGGAGCTGAACCACAGAGCTGGTGCTGATCTGAGAACCGCCGGCTTTCATTGAAGGTGCAGATACATAATCTGACTGTAAACTACAGCCGTGATACCAATAAAGATGGACAACGCATATCCAGTTCCTAAAACATCCTGGAAGCCATCTTTCAACATCATTTGGAGAAAGAGTTTGGGCAACAACTTTTTATGTCCATGTCCTATCCACTAACACGGAGGAGGCAGGATTTACGACCTATACTGCAGCCAACCACCAGGGCTTCACTTTCAGGGAGCACTCATGTCGTCCAGCTTTACACAGTCTGTGGGTAGAACTTGAAAATGGAATCACCTGGCCACAGCTGCAGCAGGTAGTGCAGGACCTCGATGTGCTTCTTGAAGTGCAGCGCGCTCGCCAGCTCCTCGGAGTCGATGAAGACTCGGTTGGTGTGGCACGACGCCTCCTGACGCTGGCTGAGCAGCACTGGGCCGAAACACACCGCCAGGTTCTGACACGTCATCTTGTTCACGTCCTGGTGCGACGCCACCAGCTTCAGGTGGTTGAGAAGCTTCCGCAGCGTCACCTGATTTAAAGGCACGCAGACAAACAAGACACGGAACATTAATTTCACACTTTATTTCGATTGCGAAAAAATTAGCATTTTTGCAAACAAGGTTTTTATTTAATGTGATATAAACATCTCGCAACGCTGACCCCAAACAAAGTCAGCTGACCAATCAGAGCAGACTGGGCTTTATCAGGGGGAGGGTCTTAAAGAGACGGCAGCCAAGTGTTTCAGAGTGAGTAATAACACAAATTAAAATCATGAATCTGAGCAAAATATTTCTCCATTAAAATGTGTTTGTGGAAAATAAATATATTTTGGACATCCTGGCGACCTCCACGTGACCTTTGCGCCATCTATCATTAATCTGACGATACTTATTTGAAGGTGAAAAGATGAGAACGCGTCATCGGTACAGTCATACATTCACTGAGCCGCCACTAATATCACCCAGTGTAAACGCCTACGCAACAGAGATTTAACAGCAGTAATCTTAACATCATAACCATCATTATCGATGCCACAATTATCCCTTTCACCACCACTTATGTGACACGATTCACTTCACAGTTTATCTCCCTCACCCTCTCCACCTCCGGCAGGTTCTCCAGCAGGCTGACGGTGTGCTCCGAGTCGGCCTGGTCGTTCTCGCAGCCCCCTGGCCCGATACGCAGCGGCCTCGTGGCCATGGACTCTAACACGGCTTCGTACAGCTGCTTGGTGATCAGAGGGTAGGGAAGCTCTCGCAGGTAGTCCTTCAGTACTCCTGAGGAGACAACACAGAATTTATCAATATTCATTATCAAAGAATATCAATACTTTTTAAATACTTTAACCATCAATGTGTAACTTCAGCCACTAGAGTCTCTCGATCAAAACAATAACAAAAGACCTAGTTTGATGAAGCAGCAGAGGATCATGGGAGTTGTTGTTCTCCGCACCACCACTGCCGATGAAAAACTACCTGATGAGACTCTGGAGCAATGGTTGAATGCAGCAAATTAAAAATCCTGATCAAGTTCGAGTGAACAACCCAAAAACTGTGGCTGGCAGTGATTTGTCCTTCATCGTCCGAGATATATAACATAGTTCAAGTCGACATTTTCTTTTATATATTTAACCGAAAATGTGCCAACAGCTTTAAATCCTGACAAATCACCAACAATCTATCTTTATTATTGAGTCACTGCAGAATGGAAACTTATTTTTTTTGAACAAATGAACCTTGTGAACTCTCCTGGCCGCAGATTGAGGCGCCATTATTTCCGTGGTCGGTCCTGTGGCGTCGGCTGTGATGCCTGATTGGTGTCAGGCGTGATTCCGCAGCCAGAGGTGTTCGGGTGTCTGTGACGGTGCATTCACACCTGTGACCTGTCACGCCCACGGTTCAGACAAAAGCTACGGGGAAAACATGAAACCCACGCTGTCTGTCTCCACTAAGCCCCTCAAATATCGCTGGCATGTCTTTTCATCAAAGGCAAAGAGGAGAAAAAAAGAGAATAAATACGGGAATAAAAAAGGCTGTTGGCAGAGTGACAGCTCTTTGTGGTTGAGTGTCTGCTCTCTTTTCCCTGTGACTGAAGATAGATCAGTTTTCAGACAGGGCTGGGGGCTGTGTAATCAGCAATATTGAATTTGCTCCAGACACTAATGCACACTGCTTTTAAAATGAGCCACAAAAATAAAGATTTTATATGTGCGAAGAATTACGATCATCCTCATATGAAGCAGGTTGGTGGTCAAACCATTTAGGAACTACATTAAAAAAAAAAACAATGTTTATCACAAAGAGGTTTGACATCAGGCAAGTGAAGTTTAAAAATACAATATCTACATATTGGCGGATATTCTTTGTAAAACTATATATAAATAATTTTCTTAAGCAGCATTTTAAAAGCCGGCTGACCAGGCAGCCGTCAGATCAGATACCAAAGGATGACTGAGGGATGATCACTCTGTTATGGCAGCTGGTGTTATCTCATCTGCTCTTCTGGGTTCAAACATGCACCTGAAGATTTCCTGTCATTGACGTTGGCAGCTTTGCACCGTGACGACGCAGATTCGATCACAGCTCTTCTACATCAGTAGCTTGTGTTAACATGCTTATCATAAGATATGTAATGCTGCTGATGGCTGTTTTTATCCACATCCCACAGGCCTGCTTGTGGACGACACTCCTCACGGCGTCCATCGGTTAAAAGACATTTATAACAGACGTTGTCCTGTTCCTTGAAATTCCCAAAGTGGTGACAAAATCCCTGTGTCACAGGTTCTGATTAGGGTGCTGCGAATAAACCGAGACTCGGACCTCGTCACCTCTACGTCACTGGCAACCTGAGGTGTTTTTCTTCAGTGGCGTCTATTTACAGAAAACTACAATGAGATTCACTGTAAATCCGCTGATATCCCCTTAGGCCCGGTGAGGAGTAGAGAAGGCACAGTTTAACTAATTTACTAATCCCAGTAAATCCTCACTCTGCTGAGACTCAGACTGAATGAAACTAAAACACAAATCCATTCAACATCAATCTCTGGAGAATAAAATGACAAAAGGTTGAAAATGAACCTGATATTTCAGTGAATTCAGGCAACGACACAATTAAATCTCTCGTCTTCTTTTCCAGCAGCTACACGAGCGTAAGAGTCTTCGAATGTGGGATTAGCAGAGAGGGAGGAGGATCTAAATTCGGTTCAGTGTTACAGCACACAGTCTCAGAATAGCATGAGGTTCACTATCTACGCAGACTCAGCACAGAAACACAAAGTCTTACACTTACACATCAAACCCTCCAACAATCACAAAAACCACAAACATTAAAGTAGCAGGTAGAATAAATAATCACTTCTTCCTCTCAGGGGCCAACTTGTGTGACTGGGTTTATTTAACAAGGAACTGTTTGAGGAGCGATCGCTCATGCACTCAGCTGATTCTCTATGAAATGAGGTGCAGATTTTCACAACCTTCTATATTTCATTTGTTAACAAGGCTGCACCGAAGTTTTCTCAATACTTTCACAGTATTTTCCAGAGCCTGCCAACCACGGAGGCAGATACTGAAGAATGAAGAAATGTAATTGAGACTTAAAATCTATTACAAATAACTGTAAATAAAAATAATTTCACCCTTTAGTGATAATTCAATCCTGTGAATCTGTGTCTATAAGAATAATAAATATATTCAAAACCTAATGTACAGCTACCGTCTGCGAACACACACACAAAACACATTCCTGAGTGTAGCTCTGGAGAACAACAACAACACTGACACGGCTGTGTTATGTCAGCTCTGCCCTCTCAGCTCAGGCAGAGCGACATAATGACAGCTCTGTGTCAGCGGAGTCCAACTCTAACACAGTTTCAGACAAACAAGCTCTTAAAACCTGATAAAATGTCCCCTGAGACTGCACATGTCCCCTGAGACTACACATGTCCCCTGAGCCTCCGTGGCAGCATGTTTCCATTCTTTCTGCTCATAGTCGCCGAATGTTTCCTTTATCTCTTATCTCCATCAGGTTTGAAATCTGGTACGAGCCAAATATGATAAAGATACATTCAGTCTCCTTAAAGCTTTCATGGACGAGCTGATTTCCAAAACAGATAAGACAGGAATGCTTTGTGAACTTCCTCCTGCTTCCCGTTGTCAATCTTTACTCAGATAATAATAATAATCTGCTTGTTACATCGCGGGAAAAACAGTGTTTTCATCCTTATCTCCGCCAAGTTTTGTTTTTTTTGTTAAGCGAGTGTGTAAATAGAACGCAGAGAGATACCACACGACTTTGTGTGAAAACAGGAAGCTCGTGCGTGGCGTACCCTCTGACCTTCCCCTGCGCCGTCGTCTAGACACAACAACAGATCGACTGTTTCACGTTAGCGTCGCCTCATTAAACGAACCCCACAAGTGTTTTCCTCTCACACGCAATTCTTGAAAACGTGACGCTAATTTTCATCTTTCTCTTTCAATACGTTTAAAAAAAATACACAAGTGAGAGCAACTCTGTGTACGTGCATGTGCACATGTGCTCGTGTTGGTCTGAAGTGTGGATAATGCAGCCATTCAGGTAAATCATTAGCCTGCTATGAGTCAGTGTTTACCTTGTGTCTTGGCCCCACACACACTCACACACACACACACACACACTTAGTGAAACATGAACACACACTCTCACACTCTCAAGGTCGCTGGCTCAGGGGTGAGCAGGTGTGATTCTCCTGCAGGTGCTTCACTCTCTTTCACAGCCGAGTTGACAACAAGAGCACGCTGAGTGTTTGTCCTCTCACATGTAAACTGTG